TTAAGCCAAGATCGCAAGTTCTGCCTATTCGGCACGACATTATATATATATATATATATATATATATATATATTATATATATATATATATATAATATTTATATATATATATTCGTGCCAATATCGTAAAATCTGGTCAATTAGAAGAACTCATTTAAAATTAAGTCCTTTCTAAAAATGTTCTCTTATAAGTTTAAGATATATTTTTTTATTAATGTTTGATTAAAAATTTTTTTAATTTTTACAAAGGAACTTAGAAACTTACTAACCTTATTATAGACAAGAAAAATTTATTTTATCCTAACCCAACTAAAATATTTAATTTGTTTACAATAATTTTAATCCTAAATCAAACACAGAAATATATTTTTTCGTTAGGTTAAGATGATTTTGGCGAAATTATTCATAAACAAATTTTTTCGCTTGTCCTATTGGCAAGATGACGTTGCTATTTAAGCCAAAATCTGCAAGTTGCCTATTCGGCAAGACTATCTATTACTATAATCATATATATATATATATGCATATATATATATATATATATATATATAATATAATATATAAATATATAATATATCGTGCTGAATAGTAAAACCGGTCAGTTAGCAGGAACTCATTTAAAATTAAGTCCTTTCTAAAATTTTCTCTTATACGTTTAAAGATGTATGTTTTCATTTATGTTAATGTAAAAATTAATAATTTTGTATGAAAACAACCGTAGAAAACTTACCTAACCTTATTATAACAAGCGCAATTTAATTTAGCTTAATCCAGCAACATATATTTTAGATAATTTTACAATAATTTAATAAACATAATGAAATATATTTTTTCGTTAGGTTCAGAATGATTTTTGCGAAATTACTGCATACACAAATTTTTGCTTGCCTCATTCGGCAAGAAGAGCGTTGCTATTTAACCCAAAATCGCAAGTTTTACCTATTCGGCACGATATATATATATATATATATATATATATATATATATATACACACACACACACACACACACACACACACACACACACACACACACACACAATCGTTCTGGCGCTTCTTGAAGTAAGGTCACAGTCATTACCTTGTCGAGCCATCTAAGTATTTTGTATGTTATGATCATGTCTCCTCTCTCACTCCATTCTTCTGGAGTCTTAAGTTTGCACGGTTTTTCTTTGTAACTTGTGTACTTCGGTTCCGGTACGATCCATGTGGCAAAACTTTTGGCCATTCTATTTTCTTTATGTGCCTAAGTTGGTGTGTGTCCCACGTCGATGCCGTTTATTCTAGAATTACTGCCAAACGGTAATGAGCCAGGTCAATGTACACACACTGACGGATACACCTATTTGTGTGCATATAACATACTATAATTCAACCTTATTCACAATATGGTAGTAGTAGTGTAGCTTTACAATAGTAAATAGTGTAAATACAAGTGAATACAATTTTAAAATAATGAACACACATTATCCAATGTTAGGGAACCATTGGAAGCAAGTCACACTGACTTTACTGGGTTTTTCCTAGGTGAAATCTACATGAACGTTTTACGTATCCACAGCACCGGCGGGCCCTCAAGAATATTGTAAAAGTAATTTGTATATGTGCCCAAAGCCTAAATAAACTCATGGAGCTTACCACGAAGGGTCATCAAAGAAAACGGAGCGTGGGAATCCGCTATGTAAATGAGTACTAAGCAAGACCGTAACAGCAGCAGGCCGGAACTTGCCACCACTGGCGAAAGTTAGCATGCACTGATGCTCTCAGAGGCAGGAGGGTGAGAAGCCATACACGGAATGGAGGGCAGTTATTATCACTATCTTATCGAAAATGCCAATGATAAGCTGGAGAGAGGTCAGGTGGGTGGAAAAGCTGCAAGTCTCCTTTTTCACATTATTTTACGAAGAGTTAAAAGACATGTTAAAACATATATACGGTAAATAGGGGAGGGAGGGAGGGAGAGAGAGAGAGGAGAGAGAGAGAGAGAGAGAGAGAGAGAGAGAGAGAGAGAGAGAGAGAGAGAGAGAGAGAGAGAGAGAGAGAGAGAGGAGAGAGAGAGAGAGAGAGAGAGAGAGAGAGAGGGAGAGGGGGGTGGGGGGGAAGTCCTGCCACCTCTAGCGACACTTCATTCGAAAATAAATTCGAGCGGAAATATTACATGGTCCTTAGGCAAATAGATAAATTAAAACCTAACAAATCCCCAGGCCCTGATGAACTGTATGCAAGGGTTCTAAAGGAATGTAAAGAGGAGCTTAGCACACCTTTGGCTAATCTTTTCAACATATCACTACAAACTGGCATGGTGCCAGATAAGTGGAAAATGGCAAATGTGATACCTATTTTCAAAACAGGTGACAGGTCCTTAGCTTCGAACTATAGACCAATAAGCCTAACCTCCATAGTGGGAAAATTTATGGAATCAATAATTGCCGAGGCAGTTCGTAGCCATCTTGAAAAGCATAAATTAATCAACGAATCTCAGCATGGTTTTACAAAGGGGCGTTCCTGCCTTACGAATTTATTAACTTTTTTCACTAAGGTATTTGAGGAGGTAGATCATGGTAATGAATATGATATTGTGTATATGGACTTCAGTAAGGCTTTTGACAGGGTCCCACATCAGAGACTATTGAGGAAAATTAAAGCACATGGAATAGGAGGAGAAATTTTTTCCTGGATAGAGGCATGGTTGACAAATAGGCAGCAGAGAGTTTGCATAAATGGGGAGAAATCAGAGTGGGGAAGCGTCACGAGCGGTGTTCCACAGGGGTCAGTGTTGGGCCCCCTGCTGTTCACAATCTACATAAACGACATAGATGAGGGCATAAAGAGCGACATCGGCAAGTTTGCCGATGACACCAAAATAGGCCGTCGAATTCATTCTGACGAGGACATTCGAGCACTCCAGGAAGATTTGAATAGACTGATGCAGTGGTCGGAGAAGTGGCAGATGCAGTTTAATATAGACAAATGCAAGGTTCTAAATGTTGGACAGGACAATAACCATGCCACATATAAACTAAATAATGTAGATCTTAATATTACGGATTGCGAAAAAGATTTAGGAGTTCTGGTTAGCAGTAATCTGAAACCAAGACAACAGTGCATAAGTGTTCGCAATAAAGCTAATAGAATCCTTGGCTTCATATCAAGAAGCATAAATAATAGGAGTCCTCAGGTTGTTCTTCAACTCTATACATCCTTGGTTAGGCCTCATTTAGATTATGCTGCACAGTTTTGGTCACCGTATTACAGAATGGATATAAATTCTCTGGAAAATGTACAAAGGAGGATGACAAAGATGATCCCATGTATCAGAAACCTTCCCTATGAGGATAGACTAAGGGCCCTGAAACTGCACTCTCTAGAAAGACGTAGAATTAGGGGGGATATGATTGAGGTGTATAAATGGAAGACAGGAATAAATAAAGGGGATGTAAATAGTGTGCTGAAAATATCTAGCCTAGACAGGACTCGCAGCAATGGTTTTAAGTTGGAAAAATTCAGATTCAGGAAGGATATAGGAAAGTACTGGTTTGGTAATAGAGTTGTGGATGAGTGGAACAAACTCCCAAGTACCGTTATAGAGGCCAGAACGTTGTGTAGCTTTAAAAATAGGTTGGATAAATACATGAGTAGATGTGGGTGGGTGTGAGTTAGACCTGATAGCTTGTGCTAACAGGTCGGTTGCCGTGTTCCTCCCTTAAGTCAATGTGACCTGACCTGACTAGGTTGGGTGCATTGGCTTAAGCCGGTAGGAGACTTGGACCTGCCTCGCATGGGCCAGTAGGCCTTCTGCAGTGTTCCTTCGTTCTTATGTTCTTATGTTCTTATATCGATGTAGTAAACGTTATGACATGCCTAGAAAGTGACCTACAAACACTCAGACAATGTTTTGTTAAATAGATATATCAGTGTTGAAACTTAAAGCGTTAGATGCAGATATTAAGGTTAAATATTACAACTTGTTATATTATACATTTTATAGGTGTACTTTATGATTATTATTTAAGGTTTACTCTGTGCACAACATATATTTCTCATTGGCTGACCGGGTAGGATGTTTAGATTTCAGTGATATCAGTAATTTTTTCCGGCTATATTAACTTATATTTCAGCGAGGTTACAAAGAAAAGTGGTGTATATTATAACCTTTCATAACCTATATAACGCATCAGGTTTAGAACAGTCGGCTTAAACCAAGACGACCCGGGCTAATCTTAGGCGGGCCGAGAAGCATGGTCAAGTCTTAACACCTACCTCTGTTCACCTGACAGTAAATAGGTTCCTAGGATGTAGTCTGCTGTTGCGGGTAGCATTCTAAGTAAGGACCTAAGGATTTCAACAAAGATGAGTTTACTACAGTTATCTCAAAGTATCTAACCAAGACAGGACCTGAAGCAATAGCTTGGACTTTTATATTTAGAAATAATATAGAAAAAGTACTGGCTTGGTAACAGAGTTGCAGATGAGTGGAGTAAAATCCCGGGTAGCATCTTTGGGTTGATAATTTTGGATTGCTGTAAATATAGGCTGGACGGGTATATGAGTAAGTGTGGTTGGGTAAGTGTTGGACTTGTCTAGTATGAGCCAATGGGCCTACTGCATTTTCTTCATTCTTATGTTCTTAACCACAAAAGGAGGTAAGGAAGACTGGTTTGAAAACAAAATTAGGTATACCCCTTCCCCCCCCCTCCAAAAAAAATAAAAAATAAAAACGAAATACTGATTAACCAAACTGTCACCAGGTATACACTTCACAGCTTCAGTGGGCATCTGTATTTTATGAAGATACATGTATGGTAGTTTTAAGTCAATGTCTAAATATCGTCAGGACTAACTCTGTGGTAAAAAATAAATACAATGATAAAATCTAATGTTCCTATCATAAGAACTGATAATGGCCGCCTGACATTTGTAATTCTTACTAGAAATGTTGTATATGCATAGTACTGTAATACCCCGTCTTCTTTAAAACATGTTGGAATAAAGACTGACTTACCCTAAGAGAGAGGGAAACACGGTAGGCTGGGCTTGTGTCCTCCCGGGAGACCGTGACGTCACAGAGGTCGAGCTGGGGCACCACCAGAGATGGTAGGGAGGCTGCCCTGTGTGGGTACGCATACAGTCCTGCTCCCCGCACCTCTACCCACACCCTGTTTAATTAATAATACTGCCTATAATATACATTACATGCAAATAACTAATTAATATTAATTCTATTATTATTATTATTATTATTATTATTAGATTCACGAGGGAGCTTGCCTGCGGGAGTCGGAAGCAATTAGCCTAATTCAAGGAAAGTCACGTCGAATTCTTTGGATCATGAGCTCCTCACCAGCGTCAAGGAGCCTCCCTCGAGGGGCGCGTTAGTCTTAAGGCCTATCGACTGAATATGGCTAGTTGTTGAGTGTTCGGCTCATAACCTAAAGGATCGAAGTCGAATCCTAAGGGAGGGGGAGATGTATGGGAAAGTCTGGTAATACCTGCTGTCCCTATTACCTACTAAAATAAATACCAATCAATTATTCGATTGTGCCACATCCTGGAGAAGGACCTTAAATAATGACCCAAAAATGGTGTTTTATTCATCAGGAAACAGAGCAAGCGTTTCCTGACACGGGTCTTAGTCAAATAATCCGCTAACTGTAACTTTTGGTTATGCAACTGAGGGCCTTCTGGAGGTTCACAAAGATCACAGTGTGTTATATACTGTATAACCCAATGGAAATAGCAACACCGATCTGGTTGTCAACTTTTAGAGAAATGATGAGTTAAGATGAGGCTGCACCTTTTGCAATTAAGATAGCAAGGAGGGAAGGCAGCAGCTGTCCAGTACACCCTTGCTTTTTACCCTGGTGGGGAGAAAGTAAAGAAATGCCAGCCTGTTATTCAATGTTAGTAGCCGGGCGAAGGGGAAATGGAAGGGTGCAAGCCACTAGCACCACCACCCTCATATTAATACGGTTTAGGAATGAAACTATCAGAGCTTGTACAGCGCCTGGGAAATGGGAGGTAATCAAGTTTGATTCACAGGTGCTGCGCCGAGTTTCCCTGCCGTTACTCACTATCTGTTTACACCGGCATCAAGGCGCTCCCTTCAAGGGTTTACAAAATTAAATACCTTATTTTGACTTAATTTAGGTAAACCGTCTTCGTGTTTTGGTGTAATTTTCCTGCATATATAGTTACTCTGAAAACCATTGTTAGGGTGATATCGACTATTTATACTAGACGAAAGCAAGAAATATGTTCGAAGTTACATAACACTATTATCATTTAGGGGAGGCGCTAAACCCGCAGGGGGCCATACAGCTCCTGGGGAACGGGAAATAATCAGGCTCAATTTAAGGAAGGGAAGGCCAAGTCTAATTCCTTGAATGATGAGCCTCTCATCAGCATCAAGGAACTTACCTTGAGCAGCTTAACTAACAATACCGGTGTACCGTATGCTCTGGTGAACAAACACAACAGTCGGGTTCTTGGTGAACAGTACATTCAGATGCACAGTGTCTGATAAACATTAATTAACTTTGATGGGAGCATGTTTGCAGTTTTGTGAAACCTGTCAGAGCATCTCTCCTAACGACCTACTCACAAGAGCCATAACAAATATAACAAAAATAAACACTACACTAGACAAATACAAGTGGTTAAGATGCCAGGTGTCTGATATGCTCGACGTTAGTATGGAGGCGGCCGAAAGAGTTTCGAGACTACCTTGTTGACTGCTCTAGTTTATGATAAATGATGACTGTCACTGCTATAGTTTTGTTGTATATTTGTCTAGCTTGACATGTCTCCTTGCGTTTCCTTAGGTCTCAGGGTTCTACAACTGTTTCCACCACCTCCAAGAGAAGGAGGCAAGGAAAATATTCTCTATTTTTCTATAAACGTCTTTCGCGGTCTAATGTTGATTTATCGAACCGTAAAAATCCTCCAGCTGATATATGAAGTGCAGACACTTTGCTGAAGTGAAAAGTGTAATCTTAGTTTGCAGAGACCGTACTTTACACATCTAAAACTGAAGACAGTCTAGCATGGATGAAATGACATTGCCAAAAAGTATAAAAGGCAGACGCAAACTGCGAAATAAGCTATTATTGGCATAACATTTTGCTCTTTGTAGCTTTATCGGGTCACTTGCAACTTGCCTGTTGTCATTTGAGGAAACTTTTCCTTAAATGCTTCACTTGCATTATCTCACTCACGCCCTAGCAGCATTCCACGTACTAAAGACTCTGGTTACTGCACTCACATATACCCTACATGACCAAAATACTCTAGCTATATACTTGTCCAAACTTCCAACCACTACAGATATCAGTAGTAGAACTCAACACACAACTCAGGATATAAATAACCATAATTTTAAACCTAGAAGATGATTGATCACGTTGACCCTGATCTAAACCTCCACAATCTGACACCCAATCAAAACCTATTGGAAAGTAACTGCCTTTATTACACAGCATCACAAGCCACCACTATCCTAAACAATGCTAAAAGTCTATCAGTACTTAACTACAACATCAGGTCCTTAAGCAAACACTATGATGACCTCCTAGCACTCCTTGAATCACTAAAGACACCCTTCTCCTGCATTATTCTTACTGAGACCTGGCTTAAGCAGGACACAATAGATATCTACCCTCTACCAGGATACACAGCAATTCACAACTGCAGAACAAACCAAGTTGGGGGTGGTATTGCAATCTATTACTCTAACCAATTATCTTGTCTTAGCACCACTTGCTTTAGTGATGAATATGGGGAATACATTTTTGCTAATTTTACTGTAAAAAACCTAAAGACGCCTATAACAATCGGTGCCATTTACCGGATACCTCACAAAACATCCCAAATTTCAGTGAGAAATTAAAGTCACTAATAACAAACAGACAAATGAATAAGCACCACCTTCTCTTAGCTGGAGACTTCAACATCAACCTTGGCTTACTAGATGATCAGCCTGTAACTGATTTCATCAACAATATGAACAACACACTTCTCATACCAACAATAACTAAACCAACCAGGCTCACTGAGACAAGTGCAACCATAATAGACCACATATGGACCAATATACTAGCCCCCCTTAAATCAGGGATAATCACAGATAGCACTACAGACCACTACCCTACCTTCCTCCTGACAAACATTAGTAAACCACCACTTGAATACAACAAAGTCTCATTTAGACTCCATGACGAGGCCTCAGTAAGGAAGTTCACAGCAGACCTAGAGACTGTTGATTGGCCTAAAGAATTCTCCAAGGCCAATGGTATTGATGACTGGACAGACATCTTTCTTAACAAATTACTTAGACTATACAACAAACATTGTCCTTATAAAAACAAAAACAGATCACAAACAAACGGCTTGGTTGCCCATGGCTAACCAGCACCATTCTGAAATCCATTGACAAGAAACACCAATATGAAAAGCAATATAGACAGGGCTTAATACACAAAGATACTCTTAAACACTATTCATCAGCTCTCACCAAAGTAATAAAAAAAGCCAAACAACTATACTACTACAGTAGATTCACAGACACTAGAGGAGATATAAAAAAGACCTGGAAAACACTCTCTCAGATTCTAGGGACCCACAAACTGAGAAAAACCAAGAATATTGTCCTAACTAAACCTAATGAAACACCACTACATCCCACGAACACAGCTAACAAGATAAACGACTTCTTCTCAAACATAGGATCTAATCTCGCCAGTAAAATCCCACATACCAATGCCCATGCCGGGGACTACCTAGATGGAAATTTCCCTAATTCCTTCTATCTTGCACCAACTGAGCCCACTGAAGTCATTGAGATCATAAAGTCACTTAAAAATAACTCGGGGAATCTGTCTCATGTCCCACCATTACTGTACAAGCGAGCGGCCCATGTCCTTTCGCATGCTATTTCATTACTTTTTAACAAGTCAATAGAGACAAGCACCTTCCCGAAACTACTCAAGATGGCAAGGGTTACACCAATACATAAAGGTGGTGACCCTACAGACTTAAACAACTATAGGCCAATATCTAACTTACCATTGCTATCCAAGATCTTTGAGAAACTCGTGCACAGGAGACTGTATTCATTTATAACGGCTCAAAACATACTCAACCCCTGCCAGTTTGGATTCAGGAAAAAATAAAAGCACTAATGATGCAATCATAAAAATGCTAGATCTGCTTTACACAGCATTGGAAAATAAGAATATCCACTAGGAATTTTTATTGACCTAAGAAAAGCTTTTGACACAGTAAACCACGAAATCCTACTCCACAAACTTGACCACTACGGTATAAGAGGCCATGCGCTTGCTTATTTCAAATCTTACATTACTAATAGGTATCAGTACGTCACCATTAAAGACACAGCATCAGCAACACGGCCACTTGATACTGGAGTTCCGCAGGGAAGTGTCCTTGGTCCCCTGCTCTTCCTCATATACATCAATGACCTTCCAAACGTATCCCAACACCTGAAACCCATTCTCTTTGCTGATGACACGACTTATGTCATCTCTCACCCTAATCTTGCCACCCTCAACACCATTGTGAACGAGGAGCTGATTAAAATATCGACTTGGATGACAGCCAATAAACTTACGCTTAACACTGACAAAACTTACTATATTATGTTTGGTAGCAGAGCAGGAGATGCACAAATTAACATTAAGATTGACAACACTCTAATTACCAGAAATAATGGGGGAAAATTCCTAGGCTTATACCTTGACAACAACCTGAATTTCAGCACCCATATCCAGCATATAGCCAAAAAAGTATCCAAAACGGTTGGGGATCCTCTCCAAGATACGATACTATGTGCCGCAAAATGCCCTTCTCACACTATACCACTCGCTTATTTATACATACCTCACCTATGCTATTTGTGCTTGGGGATCAACTGCAGCAACACACCTAAAGCCAATAATAACCCAACAAAAAGCTGCAGTAAGAATAATCACTAAATCCCATCCCTGGCAGCACACCCCCCCACTCTTCAAAGATCTAAACTTACTCCCAGTTCAGTACATCCACACTTACTACTGTGCAATCTATATCTACAGGGCCATAAACTCTAATATCAACCTTGACCTAAAATGCTTTCTTGATAGTTGTGACAGAACCCACAGGC